TTTAAAAAGTGAGATCATTGACAAACATACCAGGACAGCAATAACTTTAAGTGAACCCCTTACAAGACATGGAACTTAAACTTAATACATGACGTGAGAAAAATAATTGTAACTGGGCATATACGTAAATTTTCTACCAATATGATTTTCAGAACAAAAGCACTTCAAAATCAGACTGAAAACAAAATTCTATATCGGAATGTTTTATTGGCTCTCCTGGACCGTAGGATAATATGGCGTAAGCAATCCAAATTTTAAAACCAACAAAATGTTCAGTTTACGAGTTAGAGTGCAAAGCTATACATCCCATTCATTTACATTGAATACAACAGACCAGTTTATTTTTTTCGTAGTCCAATTTCAAATTTCTATCCCAAACCTATACAGCCGAGTAGGAGTATTCGACGAATCCGATCGATCGATAGCTATCAATTGCAGCCGGCGGATCAAACTAATGGAACTGTAATTTAGGCTGAACATACTGAGCTGCACAGTATACACCAACACGGCGACGACCAAATCTAATAAACGTGATAACAAGGGGCCGCGCATGGGTGGTTGTCTACTACAGTACACGCTACGCGTTGTGAAGCTGCCTCAGTTGAAACCGCTACAATTATGTAGCCTACACTGCATAGGCTGGGCATTATGCTTGGGATAGCGAGGATTGGGTTCGAATTATGGCGATTTGCTGGGCAATGTTGTAACAGATGGGACTTGGGTCTTCTGACTACGTGGCTTGGGTTCGAATCCCGTAGTCGTTTGAGATGATGGTGATGCAAAACACGTCATATTGTACTTGAATTAAAGTTAGGTTGACACATAGCTAAACTGTTTTCATTGGTGTTCATCTATACCATTTGCATGTTTAGGGTTGTTTTTTTTTTGGGGGGGGGGTCCAAAGATCTAGCCTTATAAATATAGGATATATAGTTTAGATAACGTCTCAGTGGAGGTAAGTTTAAAAGTGTTAAACTGGTACATTATTAACAAATACTAAAACTATGCTTGGCCCAAGCTATTTTTTTGGGGGACGAGGAAGAGGAATGGTGGACGATGGTCACAGGTTTCATTTTCGTTGCCAACAATAGAGGAATTGCTAAAAAATTTTGAAATACATTAAAAAAATTTTGTATTGCATTTTGACTGCAAGTTGTGGGATTAAATCCAGTCGATAATCAGTGGTTTATGATGATGCCGGATTTCCTACATAGTATAATTAAGTAGGGCTACTGCCAAACTATGTAGCCAACTAGTAGAGAGAAGTTGGTTTGGCAATGTTAAAACATGGGAATTGTTGACTTCCAGTCTCGGGATTGAATCCCATGGCTCAGGGAGTGCGCCTACCTTAGGACCCAAATAAAGGTTGTTATTCTAAAAAAAACCAGAATATGTGTTCAAGGGAAGAGAATGGTAGAGTATTGTGATTAATGAAATTAGGTTACCGAAAGATCTAGAGGATGCAATAACTCCTGAATCTAAATATATAAAAGGCAAAGCCCTCACTGACTGACTCACTCACTCACTCATCACTAATTCTCCCACTTCCCATTTACCTAGGAGGCTGAAATTAGACTGATTCTTTGGGCATTAAATAGGAAAACTAAGTAGTTTTTATTCTCATCGGGCTTTCGGGCTCCGCACCAGTGGCTCTGGAGTTTCCCATGTTAACCTTATGATTTTTCATATTTAAAAGGAATTTCTTAACAGCTGTTTCAATTAAACAAGTTGGTTCTGTTCTATGATGTTCAGTAGCATTAAATTTACAAGGATTACCAACAGGGTACAGCACTATTATTTTTTTTAAATTTATGACTACAGCCAATTTGCAATCAAAAGGTGAGTGAGCGTAGCGAACGAGCTAACCTGAAGGCAAGTGAGCGGAGCGAACGAGCTCCAACCTAAAAGTGAGAGAGCGTAGTGATTGAACTTCAACCAGGACGTTATTGAGCCATGCGAACGAGCTCACTTGTGAAGTTAAACGGGGCAAAGCCCGCGGGTACAGCTAGTATACATATACATGAATGTATACATTTTAGAGAATACAAAAATAGAAAATTCTTACTTTCTGGAGAAAAATAATTATTTGGTGCTAAAAAAGTTATATAGGCCTTCAGTAATAGTAAAGTGTAATATAAATAACAGTGTTATATTTATTCATCCCTGAATTCCCCATTGCTGGCCAATTAAGCAAGAAATAAAAATTATCAATCAATAAAATCAAATATGGCATTAGCAATATTATGAATATACAAATATTCTTAACAGCACAAGCTTAGCCAGTTTCTACCCTTATATTTTGGAAACCTGAAATTTAATTGCAACCTGTTTTAGTCATTTGAGCTATATTGAAACAGTTTTACAAATAGGAAAATAGACACTACAATTCTTAAGAAAAGTTACAGTAATGTTATAGAAGCTACAAATAGTCTGAAATTGTCAAATTAATGTAGTCAAATAATAACACCATTGACTCAGGAGTTACAATAAAAACACTTTGTTACTTTTCTTCAACATTGACAGACTACTTATATAAAAAAAATCTTGCAAAATGTTGAAGGTTAATTTTTTTTTTTAATAAGTGACTTACTTTATGTTTAAAGCTTACTTCTACAACTCATCGGACCCGGTTAATTTTTTTTTCCAGAAGATGAAATTAAACCTCTTAAAAAGTGGGATATTTTCCTTATTGGCCTTCTAACTGGGTTAAGAAGAAGTAATGAGTGAAAATTGAAGCGAGGAATGCACTTTGGTAAGTTTTGTGGTTGCAGGGGCGGGGTATCAATTTAAACTACGGATCATTTTATAAATAACTACTCTCTGGGAACTTTCCCTGGAAGATTGGCAAGCCTCAATGAACCAGTCAGGCTAGATGCCAATGACTAAGCATTAAAAAGACTTATTAAAAAGATAGATCTTTTAATATTTAGAAAAATCAGGGGCAAATCTCACATCTACACTTTAATGGCTTCTTTAATAAAAACACTAACACATTGAAGTAAATATATCACAAAATGATATATTAGGATGTTAAACAAAACATGAGATTAAAAATCTTGATACTGGCCTGATATATCCCCTGTCTAACTCTATCATGGTCACATATGTGTATAAAAACTTTAATAAATACTGTTTATGTCCTCTGGACCTATCGTAACACCTATACCTACATAACATCTGTACCACCTACAATAATAGCTTATTCTCTAGAGAGGAAGATTTGCTAAGATTACTAAAATCCCTATTCAGTTACAGGGACTTTCTATGGTGGAAAAAGTCATTATACTTCCAAAAAACCATTGTAAATGTTAGGCTAAAGATTATACTCCTAGTTGTAATGCTCAGTGTTGGAAAACCTTAAGCAGAATTACTTTAAAATACCAATTCCCAAACAACGTGACACATCAATAAGTACATTCTTATTATATTTAAATTACTATGCCCATTAAAGAGTTTGTAGGCTTGTCGCAACAGGGTTATGTTGACCAGGTTTTCAACATGTAGACAGATGTTTGGTTGAGAGTTGATCATCAGTCGACATTATTGATTCAGCTGTGTCACTATTGATGAGACCCTGTATACAGCCTTATCAATATTTTATTCATGTTTGCCAGCTCAGTCAATGTTCATAGCAAGTTACTGGCCATGACAAAAACCTTGGGGTTTACACAAAGAGGAAATTATTACTTAAAAACTAATAAAAGAAAAAAATGGCGAATTACAACTTAAAACTTGCTATAGGCTACTTAACTTTTTTAATAAGGTCGATAAAACTACAGTTTAGTAAAATAGAATAAAAACACAAAATTTATTAGAACAGTTAAAACATACAAGTTAGTGTAAATTAAGTTGAAATTTCTACTAGGTAGAAATCTCACATTGACTTTGGAGACTGCAAAAAGATTTCAGATCCTGTTACAACCTTATACTACAATGTATACAACCTTATACTACAATGTATACAACCTTATACTACAACGTATACAACCTTATACATTTATACTAGAGGACCCTGTGTTTTTGATTGAGTAGTACAGTATCTTGAACTTAACTGATTCAAATGATCAAAATATCAAAGGAAAGCCTTTATTTCTACGACCAAGACATATAGAATAAATCAAATAAAAATGGAGTTTGCTATCATTGATTGCAGATAAGTTCTAAAATAATTATAATCATTGTTGATTCGTGATGCAGCAGCGTGCTTCAGGTACGTCCGATCTTAATAATCAATAGCTCAAATGAAAGCTGGTATTTCACTAAAGGTTCTTAGACCAAAAAACATATAGGATGATGTAATTAGAACTGTTAAAATAGATATTTAATTAAAGTACAAGATAAAAAATTTAAATTTCTGTTTTTTTTTCAAGTAATTCAAGTAGATAAATGAATAATGATGGTTGATGGCAAATCTGTGTGTGAATACACTTAATTTAAGACCAAAATTGGGAAAATTGGTTGGGTAGAAGAGGAAACCGACTCGGAAAAGAAAAGTAAATTCTTTTAAATATCAAGTACAATAGCCAACATAATTAACAAAAACTCTTTCTTCTTGCAAAAACAACCAAAATTCACCTTAAAACAACAAAACTGTATAGTATATTTAAATACGTAAACCAAAACCAAACCAACAAAAACGTTTTTAACAAAAAGAAAACTAGGCCTACCAGTCAGCTGATAATTTGCAACAACTTGTTTTGCTAATGTTGTCAAAATGTTTGATTTTGCCAAAGTTAAAATCATTGAATTGGCCTGTCTCTCAATTTCAAATTCCAGAGACAAATAATTTAATTGGGATTTTACCACAATACACTTTAATTGTCTGAAGTGGTTATAGTAGCCTACTTCCCTTCAATCTGAAGGTTGTTGGTTCGATTCTGGATCCATCGGTCAATAGCAATTAATTAATGAGTTTTAACAAATGATCAACGTTTGATAGTAACAAGACCTGGGTTTAGACGGTTCAGTGGTGTTAAAACATAAAAAAAAAAAACACTCACCACCTGAGGATATCCAGCGGCTCTCGGTCATCCCGTCAGATCCTCACTACGCCCCATCGGCAATCTGCAACAAAGAGACGATGTCATCAAACCTTTGGAGACACCATTGGATACTTGTTACTATGCAGAGTACAGCAACCCCTCTATTAATTTCTATGATCATACCAAAATATTGAAAACAATTGGAAAATTAGCTAGACAGCGTGAACTCTTTACCATGGTAGTTGGCCTGACTTGCCCAACAGAGTGTGGAGCAGCAGGCAACGCCTCGATTCTCATGTTACAATGAAGTTCAGAAAATAATAACTGTCTATTTTTTTAAATAGATTTTGTGAAAACAGTAGTGGATTTTATACTACAGTTAAAATAACGTACCTAACAAAATGTTGCTGAAGCTCTCTTTGAACGGAAATAGCCATGAATTCCAACCATTAATTGAATAAAATTAGGTTATATTATCTGAAACGGCCTCGTCCACTTATTTAAATTTTAAAGCCAATCTTTACTAACCACAAATCAAAAACTGACTATTACGTAGAAGGGGTGTTTACTACGGAAAGATATAAACAATAACAATCTTCAAGGGTTAATATGTTTTCTTTAATAACTGCTAAAACATATAAAGCCAGCCAGAACCTATATGGGTTGTTGCTGGATGTTAAATCACCAGGTTGCCGCTTTTGAGGTAAGATTGATTTAAGCTTTTAAAGTTAGGCTAGATCTCACCTTCCCAATTTAAATGTAAATTAAACTACTCAAACTAAATGCAATCCAAACTGCTACAGTATAACAATTATAGATTGTCAATGTTCAGTACTTGAGTTGTTAATGATCCAAGCTTGGTGGGTTTGAAGGGGATTAGGTGACTGAAAGTGTAATTTTGACCATGGCAATACTGTGCTAAGAATCAGACCACAAAGTGTCAGTTACAATACAAAACTCTTCATAGATTTGCTTTAACTAGGATGACTCAGAGAGCACAGGGATGACTCAATTGGGCATTTTATCATTTGCTTCAATTACTTTCACACTTTTAGACAGTAGTTATAGAGAAAGGCTGCGAAGAAATTTGATCATTAAAGAAACTTTTTTAGCTTTCCTTAATCATATCTTCTTTCTATTCTTTAGGTGAAGTATGGCTATGGTAGATGTTACTATAGTATACCGGTACCGTAAACTATAGTAAACCAAATGTTCTTAAAACGTGTCCTCTCCCATTGCAAATGTAAAGCATGAGTAATAAGTGAGTCGGTGGCTCAGTCTGTAGCGCCGCAGACTTTGGGCCAAAGGCAGCGATGTCGTGGGTTCGGATCCTGGTCACTGCCACTAAAATTTATCAGTACAGTTCACCTTTGTACTGTACCGGCTCACACCTTGCTTTGCTGTAAACGATCCACGCACGGGCGCTTAATAGTCTATGTGGACGGGCAAATGCAAGGTTAAAAGAGGCCGCCAACCACTTGAAAAAAAAAAAAATGAAATAAGCATTGTTAACTTAAACGCCAACCGTACTAAGGAGGGGTACTCGGCTAGTACCTACATAAAAGTAAAATTGTGTAAAAATGAAGAAATTCACAAAAGACCATAGCCATTTAAATAACTAAGAACAGGTGAAAAAGTTCATGCTGGAGGGATCAATCTATATAATTAATACGCTACATGAAACTTTGTCGGTTGAACTCCTCCGCCATTTCTTAACCGATTTTATCCATTGACATCTCATTGGAAAAAGCGTGTCGCGTAGATTTGCAAACTGGCCTTTCATTTTTGACAGAGTCCCTTGGGTTCTGCCCCAGTGGCTTTGAAAGTTCCCATGTTATCCTTATGAAGAACATAATTGTTTACGTTTTGATCAGCTGTATAATTTAATTGCTGTTATTTATTTTTCGATTCAATGAAACGCATTGAGTAAATTTATTTACTATTTGAGTTTGTGTAAACATAACCCCCAAAACGAAAACGGACCGTGTTAGTATGGTTGTATCTTGAATTTTTGTATTTATCGTTGCTTTGTGTCGCTATGACGGATCGTGTTAGCATGATTGTAACTTAGATTTGTGTATTTTCGTTGTTTTGTGTAGCTATAATTTGTTTATTTGTTGTTGTTTTTTTCTTTTAAATGCCTCCGACGCGACGACAACGAAACATAGACAGGAGGCGTACACGTCAGCACCTGACCCTGGACAATCTCAACTAAAGGTTACGAATGCGAGCTAACACTACCCCTAAAAGACTTTTCGTTCTCAATTGACCCTCTATCAATGACATGTGTTGCCTGTACAGCGAGGCATTTTGAGAAGGAGAAAACCAGCCGGAATGCTTTAGGTTTATCAATAACGAAGATAACCAGGTAATCGGGGTCTGAGTTACACAATGTTTGAGTTGACTCTTTTTAAACTCATTGTAAATATGACTGTTATTGGTTTTGAAATAACCCCTGTAATACTTTGCAATTGCTCGAATTCGAGCAATATGTACACTAGTACATAACCAATTTGGTTTTAGCCATCAGTAATGTTTTTTAACAGACAAGTTTGTAAACTCTTACAAATATCAATTGGGAAAAACCAAAAAGCTTTTTGTGGAGGAAAGATCTTGAGTACCTACAAAAGTATTTTTACTTGATATTTTTCTCGATTAGTGAATCCACAGAATAGACCATCAGTCGCAACGTTATGATATAATAAATTTCCATTTGGGATTGGCAAGTTTTAGAACCAGGCACATCATACATGACAAAAATCCTGAGCTCTAAACACTATATGACCGTTTTCCCATTAGCAAAGCTGGTTCGATAGTAATTCAAAAAATACTGCTAAGTAAATATGGTAATTATGAGCAGGTTACATTGGCCCTATGTCTAAACTTGGTTTCTAAACAACAATTTTACCATACATTTTATGACCCTATTAATTTGTAAGCCAAAAGATTGTTACCGTCGGCAATTTGTGCTATTGAGAGGGACAGAGCCAAGCTGTGCTTGTAGCCCACAACTGTAGGTAATTGTGTAGTTGCTATTTATGAACATTTACTGCTTTGTTATTACCAGGTCAAGTATAGAACGTTGTCACAGCTGCAGATTTCCACCTACTGTATGCACAACTACATACTGGTTACCTAAATTGATTTTACCCCATACAACACAGAATTATTTATACCAACATTGCCATAGTCTGGTCATACTGGTTTGCGAACTTGTTTGAATTGAAATTTAGGTTTACCTGTTTGTACCAAATTTCATCAAAATCGGATAGGCCTAATTTTTGCTTGAGTTATCGTGTTAACGGGGACGCATATCTAAATTTGATTGAATGGCGTTTTTGGCCTCTGGGGACATCAAAACAAAAAATTAAATTAGGTAGTATAGTTTAAGCCTGTGTTTTAGATCCTACCACACCACCCAAACATCTCCTACATTATAAAAAACAATTTTGGAAAACGAGGATTAGTTAAAGATCCCGCAGGTCACAAATGGCGTTTAGCTATGATATAACCCATTGGTTCAGACCTCAAATTGATTTGTGGGTTCTCCATAAAAACAAACAGTTAGTATCTGAGCAAAGAGATCATTAATTCTATTAGAGAATTTTCTTCGCTCTTCGCTTCACGATTAATAATTTTTTTCAAAAATAAACATGAACCAATCATGATAATGTGAGAGATTTAGTTAGTGAGAGTGTTATTTCTACTAACTGTACTCTACCATGGCTACTCTACAGGATGTTACACAACCGGCTGTATGGCTTAACTGGCTATTGTATGTACGACTGGTGACATCTACTATCTGTACATCTCTATGACCACTAGTACTGGCTCATGTTAAATATACATTTATTTTTGCTAGTTAAATGGTTCAACTTACAACCAAATACACAACTTGGTGGTTTAGATTTGTTCACATCATAATTTTTGTTTTGCTTTATAAATTGTTACATTATCATAGTGGGGCCTAATAGTTGGGTTGTCAAATGAAAGGATGGTAGCCTAATTTTATTTAATCTTTTTTTATGTTACCTATTTACTCCATAAATGAAAACATGGCCTAAATATTATTATTTCAAGTAAAGTAGGCCAAGTCATAGATTATACGTCTTCCAGTTGATCAAACTAATTTCAGCGACTTTAGGGGGAACAATGATGCAAACAACGAAAACGCACAATCTGGTACCTCTAAGACAATAATTCATATTTTGACATAACTTGAGCATGGCTTCGGGTATACAATATTTTGTGCTGAAATGATTTGAGCTGGTTGCCTGCTCCCAAAATAGGTTTGCTTTCGCTGATTCAGTATTATGAATTGAACATCATTGCCTGCATCAAGGTGATAAACCAAACTTAGGTCCAGGAAACATTATTTCAGCTTGCTAGGCACGATTTTTTCCTGTGACTTTTAAGGGCTTAAAATGAAAATACTGTAGGTACTTTTCAGTACCTTCCGAGATCTCCTAGTAAAATCAGCGATCCATGACTTGTATAATTCCTGTGACCGGTAGACACCCTGTTCAATTGAAAATTCTGATAGTTTTTGTTCAATAAAGATCAAAGAAAGGATGGCGTTGGTTCGGTTATGTTATCAAAGTTTCTTATGACGCTAAATTAGCAAGAAAATGTGAGCTGAGAGAAATTGGTAAAATTATCGATGCCAATTAACCAATCCTAGAGGGAAATAGGCCTATATATTTAAAGGTAAAATTGTATTGACTGTAAACAATTGAAGTAAAAACTAAATTACAGTATCACTACTGTCGTCGAGATGAATGTGTCTATTTTATTATCTGACACAAGTTTTTCTAAAGCCAGGTCCATGTATGAATGGCTTGATTTTCAAGCACAGCTACATCAAAAAGTTACTGGACTTGTCTTAATCAAACTGACAACATTCTGATTGCTGGCGAGCTATAGGCCCTAAGGCTCTTTGGCATATACACCAGCACTTATCATAACTACCGGTACTTAATAATAATTTTACCAAGCAACAAGAAAACTTACCAGAATAATTCCATAACAGATGGCCTAGGCCTAAGACAATAAAATTTAACAGCATTGTTACTTGTAATATAT